CCCCAAAACCCCAAAACCCCAAAACCCCAAAACCCCATATTTATGGGAGGAAGTTGAGTTAGGGAATTATATAAAAAGTTATTTTGTTGGAGAATGGCTGAAAGTAGGATAATGAATGCAATACATGAGGTCAATGGAATTTATAATATGGCTGAGGGTGCGAAGAGAGAAGGGAATTTAAGTGAAGCGATAGAGTTTTATGATAAGGCAGGAGAGGCATATCTTGGGGTTGTTCAAGTGTGTGAAAATGAGGAGGGTGATGAACCAGAGCTTAGGAAGAGGATGGAGGTGTTTTCTGAGTCTTGTAAGCGGGAAGTTGATATTTTGAAGCTTAGAGAGGAGCTTCTAAATAATTATGGAGAGAGCTTGCAGAGTAATTCCTGCAACTTTAGTTATTTAAAGTCAAGTTTTCGTCACTCTGAAGGCATGCCTCCAAGCGATCCTGATAAAAACAGCAACAATAATCAAGGGGAACTTATTAGAGTCAAGCTCTGGCTTGAAATCATGAAGGAAAAATTTATGAAAAGACTAGACTCTTTAGAGGAAGCATTTCTCAAGCTTAAGTTACAATACCAAAGAGATATTAAATTTGTATTAAATGATCCTTCTCTCACTGCCAAAGATATAAATCTTAAAAAAGTCGACATTTGCATGGCAGACATGAAGAAGTACATCGATAAAGTTGTAGATTCATCAAGCAAAGACTTTAAAAGGGAGATTTCTCTGTTGAATTTGTCCATTCGTTGTACACCTTTACATGCTTCATTGATGGTAAAAGATAATCCAGCCTTGATAGAAGAGGAATGTGTTAATATAGAAGGGCTCCCTCCAGGTATTACAATGGAAGTAATGGAGATGTATTTAAACGAGAAGTCGCCTCCTTTATTTGTAACTTACGAAAAATATGCTGATTACAAACATCATTGCGAAAGAATTAAGAAAAAGTTAAAGAAAACTAAGGAAGCATATCATCTCCTTCTTAACAAGCAAAACTGTCTCATACAAGAAATGGAGAAGTTGAAGAGTTAAGTTGATTTTCAATATAGTCAGGATAAGATGGGGTTTTGGGGTTTTGGGGTTTTGGGG